GTATCTCCCTTAATTTCTGAGCTGACATTGAAAGGGAAGACTATGGAAATTCCTTTGGGGAATTGCGTATGTTCTGTCTGAAGACATGTCGTTCCCGCTGAACTCAGAAACAGGAACTTTATAGCTTTACAGACTTTAACCTTCTACACCATGCTGAAGTCCTTTATAAACTAGTCTCATTTCCCCGTTCCCTTGGAATATAGGAGTATTTGGGGCAGTTTTCAAAGTCCGCACTCCTTTGACTGTGTTGAAGTTGAGAATTTCCCATACTAACTTCTTTAGTAATGTTTTTTCCCTCCTCATGAGTTCTTATTCTTGCATTTGAAGGTGATCAAAGCTGTCCCACTTACCTCAAAGTGACAAGACCTAAAAGCTTCTTGGTTTCCTGCAGCTGCAGTAAAAATCTAAAAAAAATTTGTTCTTAGAGGTTTGACAGTCTTCATGTCTGAGCCAACCAAGTGGATTTATGAGATGTCTTTAGTGTTTCCTTTATTCCCTTTCTAGAAAAATCTCTTTCCATAGCTAATTTAGGAGATGGTGGTAAGTGGCTGGAAAATTTACTGTTACTTCTCAGTCCCATTTTACCTTATGTAAACAAAAAAATAATTATACAGAATTTTCTAATCATCAATTTCACAACGTCAATTTTAGTTTGCTGTTAACTGAAATACTTTGGAAGAATTATTTCCCTTTGAAAAGAAATAATTGTTGCAGAAAGATTACTTGTGTTTCAAACAGATATACATGAAATACGGATATTTTTAGTATCTAATATAAATACCAAAATATATTTAAAAATATATATGCATGTATGTATAAAAAATAGTGAAACACTTGTAGTGGAATACCTATTTCATTGTATCTCCTGGTCAGTTGTACATTAAGGTGTTAGTCATCCATGCAGTCAGTGACTTGGTATTGTATATATGAAACAAGCAAGCTGGGATTAATGGCAAGATCAAATTCCTCTTTCTGTTTCTGTGATTGAATTGCTGTGGTTGCAGAGAGAAAGAAGGAACAGCATTCATAGTTTATCGCCTCATAATTTATTTCTGTTTTGTGGAAATAACTTGTAAATGTAGTTAGATGCATCTCCAGTCTCTTACTTTATTCTTGTTTGAGATAGGGGAATAGTTCTTTTTCCTAAAAAAATATGTCGTTTTTCTCAGTGAAAGAATTGGCTCTTTCATTATTGATATAAACTTAATTTTAATTTTAATATGCCCAATTGTCTGTTGCATTTAATAATGACTTGCAATAGACCATTCACACTTTTAATACATGTAATTTATTAGTTATTGTAGGCAAGCTTAGACCACAAAAATTAATATCTTAAGTGACGTGTATAAATTAGCTGGTGCTTTCAGGCTGAACTCATTCCTATTTAAGAAAAAACAAACTCTTTTATAACACAACATATTTTAAAGTCTTTAAAATTATTGGCTAGGCCACTGAAGACTGTATGCTTTCCCTAAAATATGACAACTTTCCTCTTTTTCCCTATTTTTACTCAAGAGGGAAGATCTTAAGTGTATCAGTTATTATTAGTGTTATCTCTGTCTTGCTGACAAACATTTGCAGGCTCTTGGTTTTGAGTTTCTTTTTTCCTTAAGTGCAGCGAACACATCTAATCCAAAACTTCTTTAAAATCATAATCTAACTAAATAGATGAAGAGAGATAAATAGATAAAGGGGTAATTCAATTTGTCATCAGCTTTCTTTCCGAGTTCTTGGCTGTGTGGAAATGCATGCCAATCATTGAATTATTATGGTTTCACAATCATTAGGGCTGCTTGGAAGTTGATTTCTTTGAATTTGAAATGCATCCTGTTACCTCCTGTCTATGTTTACTAGTTATTGTAAGATGTGGAGACTTGATTCTGAGCTTAGAATTTGAGTGGTAGTTTGGCTATGTGGTGTGGCTTCTTATGTGATGGGGAAAGCCATGAACAGACTAGAAGTACCTGGTTTTGACTTTTTAGCTTGAAGAGACAGAATCGGGGAATACACATTCAGTCTGCAGTGGGATTCAGCTTTGGTTATAGGTTCACCTTTGGGTGCATTTAAAGCAATGGACTGATAAAAGGAAAAAGAACCTTTCTCTCTGCTGCAGGTAATTTCCATGTTTCTTATAACATTAAAAGACAACTCTCTTAAGATTATTTTCTTCCGTAATTTAAATGTTCTACTCTCCTCTTAGCTCAGGCAAAAGCCTTCCCTGATTATACTCCTCATGTTTTCACAGGTTTTATTTTAAAATTCTTTTCCTCACATTCCTTTTCATCTGATGTAAGAGGAGCAAACAGCAACTGGTGTCCAGTGCAGCGATGGATGACAACAGCTCTCCCTGTGCTAGTGCACTTATTCCAATAGAGGATTTGATGAACCTGAGCCTTTCCTTGAGTTCTGTTGCAGCACTGGCTGTGGTTCTCAGGGTGAACAAGCTCTGAAGGCAGGCTTAGTTACCTTCCTTCACATGTCTTCCCCTGCAGCTCAAGTTGCTGCCACTGCTGTTCTGAAAGAAAAATTCTTCATCCTGGATACATAGACCTTGGCTTTTAGGTTTTAATGTATGCATTTTTTCCCCACTGTTTCCTGGGATAAGCTTTTGAAATATATGTTACATTTGATAACACTGTTGAAATACTTGTTCAGCTATGACTTTTAAGTCCTACTTTAGTTGATTTACCAATAAGCAGCAGTGAAATATATGCAAAAATTTACTGCCCAAAAAAGGTGATTTCCTCAACAGGAGCTGTGGTTCTAAAAGATATGAAGATATGACAAATGAGTTGTGTTGCACATTCTCACAGTTCACTTTTTTTTTTTTTTTTTTTTAAGGAGCAGGAGAGAAAGGAATAAGGGCAGGTGAGCTGGACGCTTTGTTTGTTTATTTAATATAAATCCCAGAAAGTTCTGGGTACTTTAGTTTTAAGTGTTTTAAGTGTTCCAGTGTTGAAATAGTTTTATAAAGCTGTTGCTATACATTTAGATTGCTATAGGTTTATGATGATGAAAGAAAAATACTTTTCTCCACTTGTCACATGTTTCTGGCTTCTCCCTTTGTGCTTGGCCATGTGATCAGCATGCTCAGAAAGTGTGTGGGACTGCATCCTTTGGGGCTGGCCCACCATGCACACTTGGTACCTTCCACATGTTCACCTGACCCTGCAGTGTTCAAATACAGTGAAAGAATAGTATTTGAAAGAGCATTCACTTGAGTTTTCAAAGCCAAATGTATTTTCTTTTTGTCTGCCCTAAAAAGAACTGAGATGTCCATGTCTAGGCTCTGGAGCAATTATAAACCCTGTATTTGTGGCAATGAGCTGGAAGAAATAAATCTACCTATACCCTGTATAACTGTTACCTGGTTTCTGCTTAACTTTAGTGATCTATAGTTGTTACATACAGAGACATGAATCATTTACATTTGTATTCAGACAGCATTTCCAGGATTATCAGCAGTGTCTGGTTAAAGCCTTGTGCCTGTCACATGAAACTGAATGTTATTTTCAAGGTGGGCCAATAATTTCTTCTGAAAGCTGCAGAAGGAGAGTAGGGCACTGCTAAGGGCTCAGCTTCAAGCTTCAGTCTCTATTTTTAGAGATGCATATAAGGGCAAGAGGGGAAAAAAAGTACGTCAGTTTTCAGGAAAAGCAGCAGTATTTGCAACTTTGAGGTACATGAGCACATTTTGAAGTTTCTGAAAGAAGAGTAGCTGGTGAAAGCATAAAGCCCATGAATGAGTCTGTTTGGGAACTTCTTAATGGAGCTACATCCCCATGTTTTACATCTTGATAAGGCACAAACTTCATGTAAGACCAGAGTTAGGATGTTTTTATTAATTTGCCTTATAGTTCCACTTAGTATCAAATGGTAGTTAGCAAATACTTTCTGACAAATGAGATAGCATTGCCCTTTCTTAGTCAACAGAGTCCTGGGTATGTTTGTGTCACTTCGAGGCTGAGCTGCTGGGAGGTTTTGTGGTGTGAGTAGACAGAAGGTATGTCTTGCATGAAATGCAAGGAATGCTCCCTGCTCTGAATGGTACTTAACAGCTGTGGCTCCAGTTTCTGTGGGATAGACTTGGGTAAAGGGCTGCTGTAGTGCAACAGCAGTTACTGGGGTACAGCTCATTGGGGCTCATTTAACGCTTTTTTGAAGGTATTAATCTGTTGTAGGGAAAATTTGGCTGAAATAAATGCAGGTGCTTAATAGCATACAGTATGCTTTTTTGGCAGATGTATTAGCAGAATAACTGTACTTTATGGTACAGTGGTTTATGGTTTTAATTTGTTTTCTATGTGTGAAATGTCAAGATAAAACGAGGACCAAATTGCGCTGCCTGTTACCTGTTGTCCTAGAAGCATAACATGGCAGCAGCACTGACTTGCACTGCATGGCAGAGGCTCTCTCCACTCCCAGGAGTTTAGTTTGAAATTAGATCAAATAGGGTTTACACTACCAAAGGACACTCTCCTTCAGGAAATTATAGTACTTTTTGGTGACATTGTAATGCATTAGGACTTACAGGGTCAAAGAACAGAAAGTAATCGTTCAGAACCTATGTAACCCATGGTTAATGATTATAAAACAGGAGTTAAACACATCTGTTTTGTACAATAGGAGGTAAAGCATTACTTTAAAGAAAATTCTTTTAAAAGGAGCAGTTTGAAAACAACTCACTTTGGAGGAAGCCTCTTTGCATATTAAGCTATAAACTACCTTGGCAAAACTTATGAGTTGACATCAAGAATCCTTTTGAAGAACTGGAGTTCTAAATGGTACCAGCATTAAAATTAGTAACTCAAGTGTCTCTTTAGGATTAGAATGTTCTTTTAATTTATTCATTCTTAAAAATTTTCTCAGACGTAGCCTTGGAAGAACCCTGGAC